ACAAAGAAGAGGTTGGTTAGCCCAGATATAGTCAATGCTACTACTATATCTGCTGCTTTGCCAAGTAGGTGTAGAGGGTTGTGTATGACTAGCTAAGTTATATAAATTATTATATTAAAGAAAGTGAAGTAGTTTGTATTTAATTGAAGAGGATTGGGTAAGATGATCAGATGCATTAAAGTTACCTAGAATAATGGGTTATATGTTTAGAGTAATAGCTTGTTAAATTCATTGAATAATAATATTCTGTACTGATAGTCTAAGTTAAGAGTTATCACATAGTAAATAAATTAAAATAATTCTAAACTTGAAATCATGTTTAAAGAAAAGATCTACTGTGATAGCATATTCAGAAAAGAGTAGGATTTTGTGAATGTGGCATTTAATAGACTTATGAATCATAATAGCTGTGCCAGCTTTTAAATTATCAATACAGGACTAGAGATAAGTAAAGTGTTTGGATTTTTGTAGTTTGGTTATGGCATTATTTGCAGCAATTTTAGTTCTGTAATACTAATGATTTTGAGGTTATTAGAAAGACAGAAGTCTTTCCTGATTTGTTGTTTTAAATCTTCATTGTAGCTTCATATATTATGTGTACAGATTAGTAAGTTTAGTGATTTGGAGTTTGTCTGTGCTGAGTTGTTAGAAGGAGATAAAAGTAAACTGTAATAGTTTGGGAATTCTGGTTCTTGAGATAGGTGAGAGGTGGAGAAAAACTGGTGGTCTAAGGATGCTAGTATGGAAAAGACTGATGTTGGTGTATTTGATTTTAGTTGAATATTTGGATAGTGCCAAATGGCTTGGACTGGTAAGATAAAATGATTAGGTAAGGGTTTGTGTTTAGATGGAAGGTAGACATAGGCTTCACTATGGTCATTTTTGATAGAGATAGTTAATGTGTAGTTATATAAGTTATCAGATGAATAGCCAAAGCTATGGATATGTCATAAAAAAGTAATAATAGTTTAAGAATGAGGAAGTAGTGATATGTGATTATAGAATAAAAATTTGTTGTAGCAGTAATGAATTGGATGTTGTTATAGTATCAATTAGCTATAGTAGTTTCATTATAGCCATCTATGATAGTTTCTAATAATTGAGAATAAGTGTTGTCTAATTCATTATCCTTTATAATTAAGTTAGTATCTAATGTATTATTGTTTATTGGAGAAAATTTAGAAGGTATAGATATAAATAGATAGTAGATATAACCTGATAGATATAGAAAAAAGTAATCAGATAAAGGTTCAGACACATGTGATAGGTATATATAGCATTTACTATAGTCAAGTTTGATTGCTAATCTTAGTGCATAGTTGAAATTATTATATTGGGTAAAGTTGTATTGGTAGATATGTTTTAAAAATGAATAGAGTGTTTGTGGATATGGCAGTAGAGGTAAATTTAAATGTGCTAGCCATTGGTTATAGCATGAGTCTGGATCGTATAATGTCTTGTAGATTGGTTCTTGTAGTGCTTCCTTAATGTTTAATGATGAAATGAAATTCAAGGAAGTAGAAGATTCTTCTGTAGATTTGCTTACCATATGCTCAGCTCTTATAGCTGCAAAGAATACCATAGCCTGCTCTATATGTTGAGTTTGGCCATCATTAACTTGGTTCTTCATGTAAGTAAATAGTTATCTAAAAGTTTAATATATATATTTTTATTAATTTTTTATTTTAATTTTTGTACTTATTTAAAAAAATAAATAAAATTTTAATTTTATTAATAAAACAACTTTATATTATTACTAATTGTTTATTACTTTTAAAACTCAAAATTAAATATTTATTTTTATATCTTTTATCTTTGAAATATCATATTCTAATTTAATATGATTGTTTATTAGGATTAATGAATATTTTATTAGAAAAATTACATGTTATCAATTATATTTGTTTTTTGATATATTTTGTTAATATTATTCAAATTTTTTTTATATATTATTTCTTAAGAAATAATTTTTTTGCTATTATATAAAACTGAATACTAAAGTTTTGTAAAACTTAAAAAGAAGTTTTTAAACTGCATTCAAGTTTTAAATTATTGATAAGGTCATACAAAGACTTATATCTTTTTTCAGAATTGTTTTTATTAAAATATTTTTTTTATTATTGAGAACACAAAGTCTTCTAAACTTTGGCAAATTTAATATATTTTTAATTCTTTAATACTTGATAAAAAACTTTTAAATTATAGTAGGGTCATATCTTATTTTTTGCACAACTTGTTAAACACTCATATATTTAATATAAGTTAAGATAACTTCTTTGTTTTTGTTTATTATTAAAATGCTACTCATGCTTATATTATACTTAGTTTTTTTACAGATACAGTACTTTGTGAAAAATTAAAAAAAAATTTGTTTTACAAATACTAGAAAAGAGTAAACAATATATATTTATTTGAGAATCAGTTATAAAATCAAAATCAGGTATTACTTTTGCTAATAACTATAAATAAATATATTACAAACATAAATTATAAAAAATTACTTATAAAATAATTATTTAAAAAAAAGAATTTTACTAACCATAACCCATGGTGATGATTACCTATATCACATGACAACCAACTTAATTCTACAGACATATATCAGTCACATAATCCTAAATATTATGGACATGTACCAATCACTGATCTTAGTTTAAAGTATGTGCAATTTCATATGACTTGTACATGTCTTTCTTAAACCGTATCACTGTAAAAAGTTACTGTCACACAATAATCAACAGTGACTTATACCACTTTAATGTAACATAACACAATCAACAAAACATAAGAATCGCTTATTTCTCTTTTTGTGCTCTAACAAAAAAATTCTTGTGCAATTTTACTATATACTTCATTAGTGCCTAGCTTTATTAGAAACACTAACTCTAACCTAAATAAACTTAAAGATTTTTTAGTGCATTACAAATATTATCATATGACAATAACTCTTTTACTTAAAAATCGGCTATAATTTAAAATCTATATAGAAAACCATCTGCATATTAATAAAAAACTTTTCTTAACTGATTTTACTATTCAAATTCCTATAAAGTAGATCCTAACTCTAATATAACTGAACTTAAAGAATTTTATTATGTATCACATAGGTGTAAAAATTTTGTTAGCACTTCTGGGGAAGATACTTATTTATTACATAAGCAAATTTAAGCATAATCTGCAATATGTACTATGCATATATACACAATTGTATTAATACAAACTTTTAATTAGCAGTCCTATATATAAAGTAAATGGACGTTATTTTGCCATATGCTGCGAGTGAAGCAAGCAGCTAGGAAGTATATCTGCGATGCTTTTTACTAAAAAATTCCACCTTTTGACAACTTTATTAAATAGAATCGTTTACCATATAAAAAATGCATAGTTTATTTAATCAACATTTAGATCTATAAAATACATTTGTTCAAATATCTCAAGCCAGTAAAAATTCGATATGTGCTAAGCTTACTTGTTTTGTGCACAAAAAAAAAAACAAAAAAACTCAATAAATATGCACTTTGCATACTAAATTTCAAAATTGACAAACTTGAATTTTTTGTACTGTCTTAAACCACAAACTTTAATAAAAAAAAGATATATAACAAATTTTTAAGATTAAATTCCACTTTCAATATCATGTTACAACCTTGATGTTATTACAAATCTTAACACTAATAGTAATAAGAATAATAATTTATCTAAATCTAACACTAATCTCTAATATTAACAATCAAATAATTTTGTATAACCCAAAATTATAAACTCTATAACCTAACCCAAAATTAATTCCAACCCAAATGGCAATAATTAATAATGATTTAAAAATGCTACATAGTAATAATACTTACCTAGTACTGAAAATATTATGCTACTTCATTCAAAAAAGACATTATTAGTAAATTACTCAAACTCGAAGGCCTATAACTATTTTTAATATAATTTAGAAATATTGAAAGTTCAAATTAATCTAGTTATAAATATGCATGAATTATACTTGATCATTACAAATTATACCAATTGCAATAAATTATATCATAGCACTATTCTGATATTTACATACATGCAACTTTTGTATGTATCTTATAACTATTCTTGCTGTTTACATGTATGTGCATTATGACCTGTCTCACTACATGTGTTACATACATATTTTCTCTTATAATCTTCTGTGTTGTTGTCTACAGAATTATTACTATTTGAGTTTAAATTAACAATTGACAAAGGAACTCTCAAATTAGGATCCTGGAAATTAATTGCACTATGATTATGTGCTGGTTCTTTATGGCTTTGCATCTCTGAAGAACTTTTTAAATGTTTTGTTGCTGGTTGTCTATAATGCTTTATAACTAGAGGATTTATAATAACCACCTCTTCAGGTTGACCAAAATGAGTATCTTCATTGTTAATATTCTCAAGTTCAAACTTTTTTTGTTTAACAAAATGAGTAACCATATCAATCAATTCTTGTTCGCAACTAAAATCCAAAGCAGTATTGAGAGCCTTCTTCATTTTTCTGAATCTATTAGCATATCTGACCTTTTTGTTAGCTATTTGTTGACCTTTTGTATTATGTATATTAGTATTATTAGTATTTCAAATTTGTTTAATAATATGAAGGTCTGAAACGATAATATCTGTAGCCTTTTGTTGGAAGGTCATTGAAATGTCAATGTCTTGTTGTAAATCTAATTCTTTATCTTGCCATTCATCTTGATACCAGCATCTTGCCACTAACCCAATATAAAACTTTGCCATTTTGATGTTCATCATTACTTGAAAAAAATGTGCACATATAATACTGTGATTGATAAAAGTCATGCAAGTACATAAATGTCCACCATCACTCAACAATACAATATAATGCTTGTAAGCCGATGACAATCCAAATAGCTCCCAAACCTTAACTATGTTGTTTGGATTGATATCCTTTATAAGAGCAATGATAGATATTTGCAATCTATCAAGTTGGTCCTCCAAAAAACCATTTTCATAATCTAATTAACTTTCTTGAAAGAAAAAAATAACTTTGAATGTAAATTAACACTGATCAAAATTAAGAAATTCAATATGTCAAAGTTTTTAATTTTAGCTAGTGTTAAAACTTATTAAACGCAAATAATAAACAAACTTTTAACCTAAAATTTTTGAATATCTTGCTTTGCTTGTAGTTGTGCATAGTATAAAAGAGATCCAATAATTTGCTAATATTGTACAGCTAATATGTGAGGTGTCAAATATAACTTTAATATTTCCAATACTTTTGGAAATATTGTCTCAATGATTGATGGTGCTTGATTAGTAGGAAGAGAATTTAAATAGTTATTATGTTGCGACTATTTTGCTTCATTATCTAGAAGTTTCTGTATATGTTGGTGAAGGTTATGCAAAGAGGATGTACTTTTGATGCTGTTTTTGATTAGCTTGTTCATTACTTCAATGCATTGAGTACTTTAAATACCTGCTGTAAAAAATTTTAATTGATAACACCATGCCCACGACCTTACACAACCTTGCAATGCCCTATTAAAGTAACTTTGTGCTTAAGGATACTTGTTTAACAAGCATGAACACCTTCTGTTAAAGTTTTCTTCACAAGTACTATTTCACACATATAAAAATTCCTTATAGAACTCTTCAAATTGCTTGCCAAGCTTACTTCTTAAATTTTTATGAATATTCTCCTGAATATGAAAAATACATAAAAAGTGATTTGTTTGAGGTAATTTTAGAAAAATAGTGCTAATTAAAGCAGGTTCTGCATCAGAAAACAAGAAAATTAGTGATATATTATTAGTTGTATCCATAATACATTCAAGAAACTATTTATATGATTCTGTAGTTTTATTATCAGACAATGCTTAAGCTACTAGTTGAAACCTTGTATTATTATCAATGACCACTAAAAGTGTAAGATACATGTTAAACCAATTGGTTTGACATGTATTATCGGTCTGAACAACATCGATATAATGGATCAAATATTGTTGTTGCATAGGTGACATTCAAAATAATTCTAATAATCGATTGTCATATGGGTCTAAGCGAATGTGAACAATTCAGCCAGGGTCCTGATTTTTAAGCTGCAATAAATAATTGATGAATTGTTATACTTCATCATAATGTTAATTTAATAGTTTTCTAAACCTTTAAACAAACAATAAATAAGAGGCAAAATAGTCGGCATAAAAAAAAAAGAAGAAAAGAAAGAGAAAAACCTTTGAACAAGTATTATATAGATTACGTTTATATATCGTATAATTAGGAAATTGTGCTGTTAAAAGAGGTAACATTTGTTTAAATCCTATATTTCCGTTTATAACATAAAATTCTATTTTTTCCAAGATTTTAGAAGATAACATTCTATATTTTGGAGCATATAAAGCAATGTCCGGTTGCATTTGGTGATTATGCTCTCCTACTATACTCGTAATAGTTACACATGAAGATGATTTTGGATATGATAAGTTTATATGCTATGAACATGAAAACTTTACTGAATTCCTATCACACTGCCTAGAAATGTCAATAACCTGATTGCTAACTGCCTCACCAGAACATAAGTACTCAAATGTCTGTCACTAAACTTTACTATCTTTATCAGTTATCACTTGTTTTTAGTGCAAAGTGAACCCTATAGCTTTAGAATAACTGTTAAGATATGCTTTAGCTAAATCTCATGATAAAAAAGAAGTATCCACTAAGAGTTGAAAGTACTAATCATCATCTGGCTCTATTTTCACAAGTAATTCTGTTGTTCTAGGCATTTCACCAGTTACTAACTCTACAGTTATATCATTAGTAGTTTCAAAATCAATCAAAGAGCTACTTGTTGATCCTGAAAAAATTATGTCTAAAACTTCTAGTAAAATATGTTAAAAAATAACTAGTAAAACTAAAGCATTTGTAAGGGATAACAAAATTAAATAAGATTATAGTTCACCTTCCATAATGTTTTTTGTAACATGTTGGCAAACTAAAAAACAAAATTTAGCAGAAAAAAAAACACTCTAATAAAGCAATAAAGTAAGTATATGATAAAAAAGTGGGTTCTTTTTGCTAAAAATGTAAGGATGTTAGTGAAAGTAACATATAATAAAAGAGACATGACACTGATAATAAGCTAAAAAGACAAATGTAACAAATAAATGCTATAACTAACCAAGCAATGCAGTAAGAGCACAACAAGAATTCGGGGTTTTTTTAATTAATGTTACTAAAGGTGTAAAAAAAAAGATGGTACTAAAAGAAATATGTAAGAAAGTAAGCTAGAGAAAAAGAAGTGAAATAGAAACACAATAAAGAAAAAAATGCAATATAAAATGCTCAGTAATAAGAAAAAGCAAAGAACAAAAAGATAAGCAAAATGTAAATATGATGTATTTTAAATCTGTAATTTATGCCAACTCTACAAGTAAAAAAAGTAAAATGAATATACGTACTTAGATCAGCACATAACGTGTAATTTAATACATGTCATCGAGCATAGATGTTGTACAAACATGACTAGGTGATCATCATCATAGGTTATAATAAGTATTTTTCTTAAAAAAAATATATCTAAATAATTATACTTATATATAAGCTTTTAACTTTAATAGCAAAGAAATAAGTTTACTAAAAGCTTAATATATTAAATAGATTGTAATAGAATTTTTTATAAATAATTTATAATAATTTTAATATATAAGTTAAAAATAATAATATTTGTTAGTGGTTCATTGAACCACAATACCAATAAGTGATTAATAAAAGTCAAAAGACCAAAGAGGTCACCTTAATATCAAAAAAAAAATAATAATAATATTTGTTTATTTAGATTTATTTTTGATATTATTGAAACTTAAAAATTCTATATGTATATAACTAATAAATCTATTTTATCTATTTTATAATTTATAAATAAGAATAATTTAATTAGTATCTTAAAAATTAATATTAGTTTGAAATATGTTTTAAATTTATATTAAAGATTATTAAATTAAATTGTTAAGTAATTTTGATATTAAAAAACTATTAATCAAGTAAACTAGTATTAGTATTAAGTATTTTTATAGATTAGCTTATTGATAAATAGAAATTTTAAAATAAATTATTTAGTATCTGACTTTTTTTTAAATTTTATATTTTTTGAAGTAGTACTAAAAACTTTTGACAAATTATTATTAATAACTATTAATATAATATTAATTTTTATAATTTTTGCTCTTTTTATTTGAACTGCTTATTGAAATATTAATTTTAAGCTATAGATATTCTTATTATTTTTATCTTTTTATTCTGTAATAATTTCTATAAATTATATTTTTTTCATATTTTTGTAGCTTATATATAAATAAAAAGAAACTAAAAAAATTAAAAATTTTTATATTTTTGAATTTAAGTTAAATAAATTAGTCATTCTCTTTATTATTTTTAAGAACCTAAAACTAATTTAATATAGTAAATATATGTTTGCTAGACAATTAATATACTTTATAATTATGACAAATAAAAATATACAAATATACAAAGTAATATTCAAATTATTTTTATTCTTTTTTTAATAGAATATTTTATATTAATATTAGCTATAAAATAAACAACTCAAGTATTTGAATTAATATTAAAGATATTATTTAGATTAATTTTTGTTCTATTAATCTTTCAAATTTATTATTATTATTATTCTAAATTTATCTTTTCAATATTTAAATTTTTTTTTTGATATTAAGATGACCTCTTTGGACTTTTGACTTTATTAATATATTTTTAAAAATTTAGTTCTGTAAGAAGCTATTACAGAAAGAGCATACAATTGGCTATTTATATAACTTTCTATATTATTTATTTAAGAAGTTCACCTAATGTTTTCTACTAATTGCTATACCTAATACTCCTGTTTGGATGTTTCATTTAAACTCTCTAAACCTGTTTCATGTTACTTTACCAAATTAAATCTAGATCTTTTATTTCAATCTTATGCCATTTTTATTTTTAATGTAAACCTATCAGAGCTTGCTATTTATCTATTTTTGCAGCTAACTGAGATATCATTATAACAGAATTAACACTTGCAGTTAGAACTAATTATTAAACTGCTTGCCCTTGTAGAGTTTACTCAGACCTCAGTATTTACTTTATAACATATTCCTAGTACTTTAGTATACCTCTGCTTCTTTTACCAAACTTCCAATTCAGATAGCCTGTATAGAACTATGATCAGTTTATCAGTATAATGAGTTGGCCTAATATTCTTTTCCTCTAGTCTGATCTAGTAGCCTGGTTGGTAGTACCTCTAAGATACCCAATCCAGAAGTTCTTGCCTATTCAGCTACTTTAGCATTGGTATCTGTATTTAAATTATTTAAAAGAACAAAGAAATCTAAATTCTAAAGTATTATTTTTAAAAAAGTTAAACTTTATTATTAAATTATTACTTAGATTATTCTTTTATATATATTTTAACTTACAATAAAATGTTTTATTAAATTATGTGTGTCTTAGTTATTTTTTTAGATATATTATTCATATATTATATTTTAGTTTTTATTATTTTTTAAAACAATTAGCAAATTTTTTTGCAGTCTTGATATTAATTCTTTACTATCTTTCAATTATTTTTTTTTTTTTTTTTTTTTTTTTAAGCTAACTGCTTAGAAACGCAGATGGCGTCTTTTATTATTAATTATTGCTAA